GTTGGTGGTGTTGTAGTTGTTGTAGGTGATGTTGTAGTTGTTGTAGTTGGTGGTGTTGTAGTTGTTGGTGGTGTTGTAGTTGTTGTAGGTGATGTTGTAGTTGTTGTAGTTGGTGGTGTTGTAGTTGGTGGTGTTGTAGTTGTTGTAGTTGGTGGTGTAGTTGTAGTCGGTGGTGTTGTAGACGTTGTAGTCGGTGGTGTTGTAGTTGTAGTCGATTGTGTTGTAGTTGTTGTAGTCGGTTGTGTTGTAGTTGTTTTAGTTGGTGGTGTTGTAGTAGTAGTTGTTGGGGTTGTTGTTGGGATTGTATATACATGGGGTGGTGGTGGTGGTGGTGGTTTAGGAACTAAAGACAAAGACAAAGGAAACACTTGAGATGATTGAAATACCATCAGTTAGATTGCTGTTGGGTAAAAAGTAAAGCTGCAAAGGCACAACAATGTCATCATTAAGAAACTTTATAGGAAGATGCTAGAAATATTACTTTACAATTGGTCTGTTTTATATATTTATGCACCTTAGGCTTTTGTTGTTAGTCTTTATTCACTTTAAATGTTTTATCTACTTTGTTACAGTCCATCTAATGGAATGTTGTGCCCCACAAGTTCCTCATTCTTCCCTTCCTTTTCTTTCATCTCAAGCATCTAAAGCAGCTTTTGGTATAAAGGCAGTGACCACTGGATATACCAAATATTTTATGAAAATGTAAAATATGACTGCGTAATATTTTAATATTACCAGTCAACTCCACCATCACATTCTCTTTGTCACAAGTCAATAAGCTGTTAAAATGCTTCTTTCACAAAGTGAAATAAATATAAACAAATTTGAAAAAATCTTGGAATCCATTCTCTTTTAGGAGGACAAAGCCACTTTTGCTCAAAAATGTACACATTTTAATAACATTGCTTAATACTTACTGTTTTTAACAAAGACTATAATGTAAAATGATGCAGCAATCATGTTAAATAATGTTAAAGCAAGAACATTTTTTTCTTTTTTATCAATCAAAATTAAGGTCAGAGGAGAAAGAGGGAGAATAGGAGAAGATATTGAGAATGGAACAGTACCTGAACAATAAGCAGTGTCTCTGTAACTTGGTATCACAAGTTTGTAGATGTAGAATTGGCCAGGGCACAGTTTAACCTGGATGTTGWGTTGGGGATATTTACAGCAGCTATCATCCCAGGCAGTACACACTGAGCAATCATGAATTTGATTCAGCTGGGTGGGATGGGGTCCATTCAGCCACATRGGACCATGGGTTCCACACTTCKTTACCGGTACACACTTCTCTGGAAGTTGAGCTTCACTTGTCCCAAGACGCAAGCGATACCAGCCTTGAAAAGTAGCATCTTGGTCACCGTGTATGTTGGTGTTGTCTGAGTAATCTACTGAACGCCAGGGGTCATTCATCACAGTGTATTGGTAACAGGGGTCGGCACACTGAAGACCATTTTTCATAGTGAGGCAGTCGTAGCCTGAAGAGCAACTCTTGCCTCCACAGGGGATACGTTGTGCCTCTTCATGTTAACATGTAAAAAAGGAAAGGATGCTATTAGACATTTTGACCATGTTAAACACACAAACATCCGACTGACTGAATTAATCAGGCTTTGTTTTTTAAACAGAGCTGATTTAACTTTTTACCAATATTGAATGTATCACAAAAAACTCTTTGATTTGAGGTGTCAGTCAATGTATCTTCAGAATATCCATATTTACAAGCAGGAGGACTAGTTTGTTTTAAAGACATCAAAATATTACTGACAAAAATACTGACACAGAAAATTAAAACGTTTCTTTTTGTTTTCAAGTGTGAAGATAAATGTTGTAACTGCTTGCAGATATAAATTTTTTTTGCTTATTTATTCAGCCGTGAACCAATAAAAAAGTATGACTGTTTCTGTTTCAGTGGCTGATGTGTTTGGACATTACCTGTCAGTGCCAGGAGAACACACAGGTAGATCAGGGGGCGGAGCATGTTGCAGATTTGTCCAGCAGCTTATCTGAGACCTGGAGGACACAGTTGATTGGACAGCTCAGTGCACATTTGTCATAAATCACATTTTTATAAGTTTACTGGTATTAAAGTATGTATACATCTTCACTGCTCCAATCTGATATCTAACTTCAAACAGGTAAACATATCCTTATTAGACCACAGGTAAATGACCTGTCTCTCCATTTATCATTTTTGTCATATGCTAAAATGCAGTTTGAGAGTATAAAACAAAACATTTGCCATGCACCATAGACTAAAACTTATCTTACTGTTTGGAGGATGAGGATGATGAAGAGTCAGGAGGCTCTCTGTGGATGTTGCTTCAGTTGGTTGGACAGATTCGTCTGGKGATGTTTCTGTCTCGAAACTGCTGCTCTATCTCTCTGTTGCTGTCTCCCTCTTTTTATGTCCATCTTCATCACTGCCCACGCCCTTCCCAAAAGCAGGGTGTGGAGGAAGACTTTTCAGGTAATCATCGTGTTTCCAAATAAAACCTTCCCTAGAGTTTAATGTTTGAACACAATTAGTTAGGTATGTAAACGTAATGAGGATGACCTACTAATGCTGAAACTGGCATCAGAATGAGGAAGAAACATGATTGAAGTGACTTTGAATGTGGCGTGGTTCTTGGCGTCAGACAGATCTGTTGACAAACTGACCTGTTTATARTTGAATGGTTTTATCTTTCTTTGGTCCGATAGTTTGACTAACACATACTGTAATCCACAATGATGGAGAAAATAATATATGTGTTATATTTAAATACTTCTGTTGTGTTGTGTTAGTCCCACATGTGAAATATAATCACATCAGTCCCAACCAACCAAAAAATAATTAAATATATTGATTGATAATTCATTCTAAATTATTTTTATTAATTTATTCATTTAAAACAAAATTAAATCTACATAAAATAAAAAATACAAATCACAAATCAAATTGAAGACATCAGGAAGGAAAAAATCTTATCTACCCTTTTTTAAAAAAATTATTCAAATGATAATATTATTGAAGTAAAAAAAACATCAACCATTAAATTAAAAATAATAGGAGACTTGCAACCAGTCCAGGGGGTATTCCGCCTTGCCTCTCTCATGGAAACTGCAGGAGAGATCAGCCCCAGCTCCATAGTGACCCCAAATTTACACTTGATGCGGTTCCGCTCTGCTGCACTGCGCAGTTCGCAGCTTGTCGTTTGCAACCCAATTTAAACAGAATCTGCTCCGCTCTGGTGCAAAACACAGAGGAGGTCTGGGAAGCTTATGCAGGTAAGGCGAGATTGCGTGATAAATCCAGTGGTAAATTCAGAAAGTAGAACAAAACTAGAAGCCCTCGGAGAGCGCAAACCTCCGCCAAGTCTGTACGTTTGTGTGTGAGTGTGTGTATTTGTGTTATATGTGATTTAATACGTTTTTAGTCATATAAATGTATGTATGTTTACAACTGCTTTACAATAACTGAACATGTAATAAACCAACCCATTCTCACTCCCAAGTCGTCACATATTGACACTTTTCCAAGGTTCCCACTACGTCCGATTTTGACGCGCAGGGTACCCCCGTCACGTCAGTTACTGACGAGATGGGGCGAAATATGTTGTCATATTTTCAGAAAGTGTAGAAAATGCGCAAAAACGACCGTTCCAAAGCCTGAAATTACCTTTGTTCACTTTAGACATGCTGTCCCTGACCCTAGTACCTGAAATTAACCATTTTTAGAAAATGTACGAAATTCACGTCAACATGTTCTAAAGCCTAAAATGACCTAATATTCACCATGGACATCCTACCCCTGATCCCAGTACCTAAACTTAACCATTAATCCTGATCCCTCATGTTAACCTCAGACCCCCGACCCAAAGACCCCTGGTGGCGCAACCAGCCGGGGGCGGCAAGGACTGACGCGAGGGGGTCACCTGATGCGTCAAAATAAGATGCAGAGGGAACCTTGGAAAAGCGTCAAAATGTGACGACTTGGGAGTGAGAATGTGTAGCCATTTCAGCACTTTCACCCATCCTGAAGCGCACAGCTTTCCAGCCAAAGCCTTCCAGCCGTATTCTTTTTTTTTGCTTTTGCAACCTTGTAAACAGAACTATACCATCAATAGGAAAAAAAATTGTATAGGTCCTCTGGACGGGTTCTTCTTTAATGAAACGTTTCGTCTCTCTTCCAAGAG